TTTCCATCTACTTCTGCACTTTCCCATTTGTTTTATTTTTTTAAAAAGAATTCTCTTTAGCTATTTGAAATCAGTATCTAATTTTTAGTGGGAATATCTCAGGGACAGAAAGACATTACTGACGATGTTTTTGCCTACTGTTTTTACCCACCCAAATTCTCACTACTCATTTTCTAAGAGTGCAGAAAACCTGTGGAAAAAAGATTCTTATTCACAACTAAATTAAAGGAACTCATGGAGTGTCAGTTTTCTCAAACTCCCAGAGTCCTAAAGACAGTCACTCAGAGCACCCCATTTGTGCTCACAAACAGGATTGCTCAGGAGTTAGCCTGAGGCCTCTTTCCTACAGACACTTCCAGGTACAGAGCGAGGAAGTGCAGAGGGATGGCAGAGTTTCAGGGGCACCAGGTCTGCTCTCCTTAGAAACATCATCAAAGGGCCTGACCCCATGGAAATTTGTCTGCTTGATTTATGGAGCAAGTCTAGCCTTATCCAGAAAGATTTCTCTTTCCCCCAAAATGAACCTTCTGTATTCAGACTTTTTTTTTCTTTTTAAAGATGCAACTCTTTCCAACTCCAGTGAGTTAGGCATAATTTGAATTTGTCATATGGTGCTGATATACAAAAGGTTTTGTCTGGCTGTTAATACTGACAAAAGGAGTTGAGGTTTTTCCAGCAGAATGAACATTCTGTATTTAATGAAAGCAAGATTCTAAAAATTGGCTTCTACAACATGCAGGTCTTATAAAATTGTACATGGCTCAGGGACCATTTAGATGATATACAGGAGTCAGCTATTTTTTTTCCAAAGAATCTTCTCAGTGATTCCAGTTGAGGTCCAGGGCTAAGGACTTCACATAAATCTCATCTGAGACAGACCCCAGGTAGATCTTCCCTTCAGTCAGCATTCCTGTGTTCTGTGTGGCTCATTTCATTTTTTGACAGAGTAATAATCACAAAGTTGTGATCAGGTATCAATTTTTATTTATTTATTTTTTGTTCTTGTTGTTGTTTTTCATTTATTTTTATTAGTTGGAGGCTAATTACTTCACAACATTGCAGTGGGTTTTGTCATACATTAACATGAATCAGCCATGGGTTACATGTATTCCCCATCCCGATCCCCCCTCCCACCTCCCTCTCCACCCGATTCCTCTGGGTCGTCCCAGTGTACCAGGCCCGAGCACTTGTCTCATGCATCCCACCTGGGCTGGTGATCAGTTTCACCCTTGATAGTATACTTGTTTCAATGCTGTTCTCTC